TACAAGCAAAAAATGGATGTACAATATATTTTTTTTTATGTTTTCTGTTAAATGATGCATATTAATTTTCTAAATTATTTAGGAATTGCAGACTATGATTTTCTTATTTTCTGATTTATTCCTTTCCATAACCTTGGTAAATCTACATGTATACATATTTTTTTTTCATTTTGTAGGACCTTTCTCAATTGGGAAATTTAATGAAAAATTATACTTTATGCGGCTAAAATTATACATAGATTTAAATATAATTGTTCTTTTTAAAAAAAAAAAAAAGTTTTAACCTTTGCAATTTTTAAAGAAAGCAATTTTATTTAGATCAGATCCAGATTGCTTGTTGGAGATTGAGTTTGATGTGTAACAGAGAACCAATTTTGAAAGGCTGGCTATTTCTAGCCAGCGTTTTAAACAAGCAATATCATATGGATCCCATGGCCGTACAAGGCCAAATATACAAGTCGGATTTAAAAGGTAAAGAATGAGCTTTTGAGTCAGTTTTCTAGCATTTTGGTCAACTGTTTAACTACAGTACAGAGAAATATAAATGAAAACAAAGAGTAGATTAGCTTGAACTAGTACTATGTAACTACAAATTCTGAAATAGGAATAATGAAAAACGGAACAAACACAATGAAAAAGTGATAGCAAAAATGAAGAAAGTGAATAAAGTGCTTGAAAAAAAAAAAAAAAAAAAAAAACGGATTCAAGTATAAGAGAAGGTTATGGTTCAGTTCATCAGAGACAAATACTTGGGAGAAATGGAGACTGTTGCAAGTGTGAAGTATTCAATATTCTTCTGGATTCCATGTTTTTGAACAGTTGTGGTAAAATTGTGTTAACTGGATAGTATTACCACCTTGTCTGATACAGAAATGTGAAAAAAAATTGAATCTCAAAAGTGTAAGTGTACGTTTGCAAAATCAAAATTGATCTCTGCATCCTTCTGGCCAATTTTGATCTGTAAAGCCGACAATTCCAGACGGTATTTACCAAAAATAGCCAGAATGTTATAGTTTTGTGTAAAGGTAGGGAAGATGGAACATTTTTGTGTTCAATATGATGCTTTTTAGAAATTAATTTTGAAGGAATTAGAGCGCAGAATGCAGTATTAACAGTGGAGTTAAACCCTGAAGTTATTTTGGTGACCTTTTTTCCCGCAATTGAATGTTGATATTATCAGTTAAGGTGGCAGTGTACATAACGTATTTAAACTCTTTCAAAAAGTGGTAGCATTTCATAGATTCAAATGGACATAAGCACCTACAAGTACCAATCTCCCTGTAAGTATCAACCAGAAGATGTAAATGTAAAGGACGAGCAGATCTTAATGGGGGTATGTGTTACCAGATTAGACTTGAACAATCAGATTGTTCACGATTTCCTACTGTGTTACATTTTACTTTAGTTCTAAATGAGAGAAAAGTTATACTTGTGCTATAATAATAATAATAGATTGATGAACTGAGAAGTAATTATATGACAAAGGGGATAGCATCAGCTTTTTTTATCGTTAACTCCCCTAATTTATGTGGTAGTATTCCAGTACCACCTGTAGATGTATCCTTGTATCCCAGCTGATCTAAGGCGCAAAGGCAAATTCTGACTACAATCAATTTTTAAACCAATACAAGCTACTTACAACTAAGTACTTATAAATGTTTTGCATTTTGCAAATATTTTGGTCATAATACTGACAATGTTTACGAATAAAATCTAAAAATAAGAAAGACACAAGAAGCAGATTCTATACAGATTTATTCCCTCAAAGTATTCCCTGAGTACCTTTGCTATGTCTATAGTCTTTGTACCCAGGATCAGAACACCTCGGCATACTCATTTTAGGGATGCTCAAAAGACACTGGAAAATGGCATTCTCCATTACATACCGAAAATTGTACATTCTTCATTTAATTGTTTTCTTGAGTTTTTTTAATAAAAAAAATCTCACAATGACTGCAATCTGGCGAGGATGTCTAAGCTCTGATTATGTTTCTTTCTTCAAAATGTTCTATACATCGCTATGCTTATTTGCAGCAGCGTTGTCAGACACAACAGAATTAAATCCGGGACAGGTATTTGGACTTCCATCACAGAAAAGCTGCTAAACTTTCCTCTATGCAATTTTAACATAAAAACTACCATTGATGGTCTTTACTTTGGGTGTACAGTACCGACCAGATACAACCTAAGAGAAAGTTTACCCCAACAAACCACGGCTTCGCTTTCTGGGTTCTCTCCGGGTCCGCTAGAGCTGATCCTGGGCGAAACCCGAGCGTATTCAAGGCGTACCCCGGGTAAGGAAGAAAAAAAACCCAAAAATTAATAAAAACCGATTTAAACCTTGTACACAGTTTTATTTATATATTTTATTCTTTTTTCGGACAGGATGTATTAAAACAAATAGCATCGAAAATTAGCTAAAAAGATAATTTCAATTAATTTTTTACTAATTAAATTTAAGTTCTTAAAGAACATATATTTATACAATAATTCGTTAATTATAATTTATTTCTTTTATTTTATTTTCCGCATTCAACATTTACTTCAAATCGATATTTTCTTAATTACATTAGAAATAAAAAAAGAAAACGTTTTCCTCTACTTATCCATGCACGCAAATGTAGGAAAATCAGAATAAAATGAAATCTTTCATATACTTTATAATTCGTATTTATTAGTCTAAACTTTATTACGAGAACACATTTTTTCATTGATACTTTGAAAACTGCACTTTGAAATTTCTACGCATGGACATCTTTTTCTTTCTGTTTAAATTACCATAAAATTGATCGATGTTATATGAAAGTGTTGGTGACGAAGGGGGGGGGGGGTACTTAAAATGTATGTCGCTATACATAATTCAATTGAAAACGTTTATAAAACTGGTATATATTTGTATGATACCTAAGTAGAGTTTTAGTTGCATGAGCTGTATGAATCAATAATGAAAACCACACAGAAATTTAATTAAATTTGACGTACAAAAATTCGATGTAAAAGAATACAATGCATTGGTATAACAAATACATGTACATGCATTAATTGTCCTTTTAAAAAAAACCCGAACACCTAACCAAAACTGTAATGACCAATCAAATCATGTCAATCTCTCTTTTGTCAATTAGGCTTCCGCTCATTTTTTTTTTTCAAAATTATAAGACGACTCAATTGAAAAAAAAAATGTATATTTAAATGTTTTTTTTATATATGTACTTGATTATCATCCACCATCATAGTCACTTAATAAAATACATGTATACAACATCTCTTGGCGTGACAATTATTTTCCCGTAAATTGCAGTTCCCGAATTTTTTACAACCCTTGTTCACGCAGTTATAAAATATTTTTGTAAAAAAAAAAAAAGAAACACAAAAAAATTCCACTCTACTTTTTATCTTTCCGAATCAATTCTCATTCTTACTGATAATTCTGTGCAGAAAATACATCTTGTGTGAAATTTGGCTAATTTGATTAACGTGCTCCCCTTTGTCACTTACAGGTATACATGTACTTGCTTTCTATCGCCACTGAGCAATGATGAACTATTTCAACTACTGTATAATTGAAATATATAAGGGGCGGGGCTTACATGCAGTAAAATATAATCCCGCTTCACACTTGAGTGAAAACGAATGCAGCGCAGTCCTGCTTTTTCGCGATTCGACACTGCTTTTCCGCGAAAAAAAAATCCATTTTTTTTCCCGCGAAAAGTAATGCTGCTTTTCCGCGATTATACATGTATTTTATGCTTTTCCGTGACATATTTTAACATATTCCCCTTCCGTTAGTCAGGTAAAGAAATTGTTCCCCACTGCTTACAACGGGGAGGTGGGAGTAGGATTAAAGCAGGATAAGTCTCGTAAAACACTGCATAGTGAATAAGCACTGGATAAAATATAGGATTAAAAACCAAGAACTGGTCTCGATATTAAAGATCCACAGAACAAATATGCCTGTTATCTCATTGCGAGCTCCATATATTATGAATTTGTTACCACGACTTGTTTCTGAATGAACAATTTCCACAATGTCTTTAATCCATCACGGACAGGTGTAAAATGCAAATTCATTCATTTTTTTTTATCACACTGCGAGTTAGTACCTTGGTTCGATCCGTGTAGAACTCTAAGGGAAAATGCAGATAAACATTTATAAATTTTATTACTGCATCATGACATTTAAGACTAATAATAAAGAAAATTGATACCATCTGATGAAAGTTTTACACTATTGTGTATCTGATATAGAATTTTACATGAATGTAGTGGTTACTTTGAATTTCCTTTCTATTTGGGTATGCACAATCAATGTAAAAAAATAAAACATAATGCGATTACATTTAAAGATAAAATATATATATATACCTATTTGTGATATCTAGTGAGACTTCTCTAGTCGGGATGTTGTGTTATCCCGAAACTCTTACCATAAAATCATATCTTAATTTAAATTCAATGTTCATTTCTTTCTCCTTTGGAATGTTGTCTTATAAAGCAAATTTCTGTGGAACCAGTTTTGTCTGAATTAGAAAATTTTGCTGTACTTACTACATATATGAACTAGTTATAAATTATATATGTTGTTGAAAATGAGTGTTTAGTTATAAATTATAATAAAACAAGATAATATATCAGAAGTGTCCTGATTAAATATATACATATAGTTACTAATTTAGCGTTTTAAAAAACACACAGACAATAATGATTTATTTCATTTTGCGCACCCTAATTGTTAGCAGTTGCCACGGGTCTGCAAGTCTGAATGTATTGATTTAATTCTCATATACTTGTTTGTTTGCATGTATTTTTATTATTTTTAACGAACAATAGGAAGTTAACACAAGTACCTTCTCTTGGAACGTCCTAAATTCTAAAATTATTATTAAAGACAAAAAGAACTAAAAACATTCAAGGCTCCCATTGAAAGAAAATATACATGCAGAAACAGGAATGTAAAAGGACATATACAAGAAGAAGCAAGAAGCGGAAAATATTCATGATATATCATAAATAACAAGAGCAGTGAATTAAAGTTTTTTTTCTTTGAAAAATCAATACAGTCCTTATTTTTCCAGATTGCAGAAATAAATGTGAGAACGTTTTTTGTCAATTTATCAGTTTTCTTTTTGTAAGTCGCTGTAATCTATCCCCATTCCAATGTTTACATAAGTACTCTGAAGTCGCTCATATGTAAAGGAAGGTTCCAGATAATTATCATCAGATGATGGATTCGTGAATCTGGCCAGTTGGGCTATAAGGTCAGTAAATGTCGGCCTCCTTTCGGGATCTAAATCCCAGCACCTTGTCATTAAAGCGTATCTGAAACACATTCAAAACCTTAATGTAACCGACACTAACTGGAGTCTCCATTAAGAACCCTCTATACACCAATGAAAAGTTTTTTGTTTTTTTTTTAGCTCTGAGAAAATCATTTCATATGAAGCTATAGATATGGAGTTATGTATTTATTTTTCAACATAGGGTACCTGCCATTTATCCCCAGGAAACATAATCAAATACAATGAAGTGTTGGTTAACTGAAATCACTGTTGTTTACTTAAATGGGGAAAAATGCATACAAATAAAGTATTCAAAAAATTCATCTAGTCCAAATGAAATGTTTAGAATGTTTGAATTGAATACAAATTGAATGATGAACTTAAGATTTCAATTTATTTTATTTTAGATCTAAGGGCAGATTACTCTAACTGCAAAAAATACAATAGAATTATATCTATTTAGTGTGCAGTGTACAGAGGGTTCTTAATTTATTAATGTTAATTTCTTTAGAAGAACTACATTTCCCCCATTTTTGTGTTGAAGGAGAAGAGTTTACACAGATGGTTTTAAGAAAGCCTAAATTGACAGTAAACAGATAGTCATTCAATATTGGTTTCTTTCAATAGCTTTGTTTCGGGGGAGGGATTGCGGGACTTTATAATGTTTTCTGTCTGCTTTTCAAACAAATCGCAAAGATACTGTCAATCCATCCATTATTTTAAAGAGACAATGAAGTTCTAGATGAAGTCATTATATTACAGAAGATCATAGTTTTCAAACAGTTACATGTATTGCACAATTTTTGTATTTACACACAAGATATTCGTTAACTACCTGTATTTCCTTCCTTGGGAGTGCTTACAGTTTTTCCCCCCGAATACTAAAAAAATCTTAGATCTTAGTAAAATTATTGTTTAACATTCTTTTTATTAAAGAAAATATATTTTAATTATTTGATAGAATTACATTCTATTCTTTACTGGATTTATTTGATGATATACGTGTAAAAGGAGCCCTACAAACAAAAATAAAAATAATAATCCTATGAAATATGATGATAACGAACAGTATTCAATCTCTAAAGTCCAATGAAACGATACAAATTTGAAGCAGAGCAAACACGGACCTCAAAATTTAGAGGTGGGATCAGGTGCCATGGAGGAGTGAGCATCCTCTGCCGACGTGTCACATCCGCCGTGTGCTCCTTGTCATGATCAGGTAATAACGGAGAAATCCGTAGACAGTTCAGTGTATAGATAATGGCCTAACAATTAGTATGAAAAACGTCAATCAGCATTTGACTCAATGTTAGGTTGTATGTGCTGACAAGGTCATTGTATCGACCGTAAAACTTGCAAAAAGATGACTTCTTTTTCTTCTATCTTTTTATTTTATACTTTGATTTCAATTTTAAAGTCTTGAAACTTTTAATGCATTGAAAAACATCATATTTTGCGACGTTACACTGTCAGCTTTCTCTATAAATGTACTTAAAAAAAGGGGTATTTACAAAACATCTGGGCAATATTCAGACTGTGGCAACTTCCTGTTCATCTTCAGAAATCTGAGCATGTCCCATCCGTCCACTTCCGGGTATGGCTTATTTCCCCTGGTCACCAGTTCCCACAGTACAACACCAAATGACCACTTGAAGAAAATACATTTATGTAAAGTGAAGTTGCTCTTTGGGAATTTAAAGTTCATGAAAATCTTGAAATAATTACCACATCTGACTGGGCTGTAAAGATTCCTTTTTCTAGACTTTCAGGCGCCATCCATTTTACCGGTAACTTACAATTCTTATTACTTATACAGTAGTAATTCTTCTCATATATGTCCCGTGACAGGCCAAAGTCTGCTACTACTACTGTTTTGTCATCACCAAGCCTTCGAAAAATTGACACATATAAGCAATATTGTAAGATAAGAGTCAGTTTGAAAATGTGAAGAAAATAACTCACATGCAATTTCTTGCAGCTAGGTCACGATGCACTACCCTTTGTAAAGACAGGTATTCCATACCACTGGCGATATCAACACCAAATTGTAAGATATTCAGAAGTGTCATCACCTAATTCAATCAAAACATAAAGAAAAAAATGCCTTATGTACGGTTCCCCTTTGATTAACAGACTCGCATACAATTGGCATATTTGACTTAACACATGTTTTAATTCTAAAACAGTTTGATAAAGATTTTGTCCGGTGTTCAAATCAAACTTGATAAATACTCTACAAATCATGAGACAAAGAAAATTCCTCATCTCATTTCGTTTATTTCATTATAGTGAATTTGAGTACACTGTCATTGAAGCAATAAGATCTGCATGAATTAGTGCTATAAAAGATTGTAATCGGGAAATTATAAACCACTGAATTCTGTGCTTAAATTCTTACATTGTTTTGATCCCTGATGTATGTTAACATGTCTCCATGCCTCATGAAGGGTAAGATCACCAGTGGCATTTCGTCCGAAAGGCAAATCCCAATTAACGGCATCACATTCGGATGGTGGAAATCAGCCATTTGTAAAGCCTCGTTTACAAATTCCTTGGCGTCTATATCTCGTGATTCCTTTTCTAAGTAAATGTATAATTCATGTCTTGAGAAAATAAATACATATTGAACAAGATGTACAAATAGGAGATAAGGAGTAGGGTGAGGATAGCAGAAAAAGAAGAGGGTGAAAGAGGAAGGGATGAAAAGAAGAACTAAAGGAGAAGTAACATTAGTGATGCAACCAGTAGTAGAAATACGATCAAAAAAGTGCAAAGAGCAGCAATACTACGAAAGAAGGAAAAATGAAAATTGTTGTGGTACAGGACAGATATGGGAGGAGGAAAAAAGTAAGAGAAGAGGGTGTAAAAAATAGGGGATGAGAAGAAGAATTGCAGGACAAGTAAATTAAGCGGTGCAAGCCATAGTACAAAAATTAAAAGGTGTGCAATGATCAGTTATACTAAGAAAGAAGGAGTAGCCATACTTGTCGTGGCACATTATATAACCGATGAATTTAAAAAGATGAAGAAGTGAAGCAGTAGTTTTAGGAACGTGAGGAAATAAAGAAGGGAGGGTTGCGCTTGTTTTGTATTAATGGAGAGATGGAAGAATGAGGACGACTTGCTGTAGCAGGATTACTGAAAGGAAAGAAGAAAAGGATTCAAGAGAAATAACTGCTTGACAAATGAAAGGAGGAAGAGAGAAAGAGTATCAGCAGACGTTCATGGGGAAAAATAATACAAAGCTGTAAAAATGATTATACATACGATGTAAAGATTTGATTGCTACTTTGGTTTCGTAATTATCCACTGATTCCGTCAAAGTGCCCTCATAGACAATCCCAAAATTCCCTAAATACAAGATAAGTAAGACTTTATCTAAATTAGAAATGTATATTTTAAAATGTTGAAAATACTTTATTATACTACTTTATCTTTACGTCTACCTTTTCCAACACAATCTCCGATTCTGAGGTCATCGGGAGAGATAAGTAAATCTTTACTTTTCAGAAGGTTCACTATACTTTCATCTATTCTGTGTTCATCGGCTTGATCTCGATTTCTTCTCAGCATTTCGTATCCCGAAACTATTTAATTTGATATATTCAAATGAATGAGACAAATGCACAAGTGTCAGTCCTTGCTTGAACAAAAAAAAAAAAAAAAAAAAAAAAAAAAAAAAAAACTTTCAAAACTGCCAAATCGAATAGCATTTTTATACAAGAAATAGCATGCTTAAAATAACTTGCAACTAATACCTTGCACATTTTGAACATAATTTTGTCTTTGTTGTGCCTTCCTTGTTTTTAGTCTCCTCCATCTTAAAATGGCAAACAGAGCTATGGCACCAGCAATCACAATAACAATCGTGATGCTCAAAATTATAAGAATATACATGTCAACTGATGTGGTCGACGGATAAATCAAGTCACCAACAATAACGGTGAGAAAGCCTACTTGGACCTAAATGAAATGTTAAAAAAGATTTTATTTCTGTATTGTATACATAGGTACTTGGGCATGGATAACGTAAGAAGGAACTTTGGAGGAACAAAGGTTATGTTTTTCCCTACTTCATTGTTTTGAGGCATAGCAATAAAAATGAATTTTATCCACCTTTAAAAACTACACTTTACCTCAATATATTCTAAAGACTCCTTTTACTATAACTCTTATAATGTTCAATTTATTATCCTTCAAACACATTTTCAAGGGATATTTAATTTGTTTTGATACACAGGAATAACGTCATATAAACTAGTTCTATGTCATCAGCTTTGTGATCTGAAAATTAGGATCACATCGTCACGTGACTGCGTGCAATCGGCAGTACAAATGAGTGATATACAATACATATAGTAAAATTACGTATCTACTTACTCTAATATACAATTTTCCATCAGTTGATAATGGAGAGGGCTCTGTATATGGAGGTTTACATGTGAGATTAGAACTTTGTAGATCTGTCATTATACATTCACCTGATCCAACTCGAATAAAATAATCATCCTTAGTAGCAACACCATCTAAATTATCTCCCTAGATAAACGAAAGATCATTTATAACTTATTTACGTATTGTTTTTCCACTCTTTATTGTGTTCCATTCGTACAATACTCCAATATCAAAAAACATGAATCTGTATTAAAAGTTATATCATTTATAAGATTTATTATTATCAAAAGTTCTGAAAAGATTTTTTTTGATATTAATAAAACTTTGTAAGAATACCTATTTCAGTTAAAGATTAAAGTCAGCAAAATCATCCAAAGAACAATGCATATTACAGACAAGAATCAAAGATCAAGATTCCTATATACATGTAACATTTAGACTATCTCATAAGGTGTCAAAATAAGCAGAAACGATTATCTCAATATCACAAGTTGGACATATTTAAGAATATTGCATAAAACCTGCATGCATGTCGGACAGATAAATTCGTTTCTGTTCCATTCGCTCCTTTTCAATAGCAAAAGAAACTAAAAAGTAACCAGATATAGTGTAGGTAGGTCTGCCTTGACAAACAGTGTTATAATATTAAATGAAAAAAACACTCAAGGGCTTACCATGATGATAATTTCGTTTTTTCTCGAGGCAGGATCAAAGCTATAAGATTGGTTTCCATTAAATGGGAAGAGAATTGGATCTTTAAGATACAACACTCGTGGCTGCAAAGTGGTTGTAAAACCGTCTAGTGAAAGTTGCAATGTTTGAACCTTGGAGTTCTCTGTCATCCATCTTGGAAAAGGGGGGTATTTACAATTGAGACGATTTATGTTTATTCTTAAACACAGATATTTATTCTGTAAGGAAAAATTACATACTTTCAGAAGTCATAAACACTACCAATAATAAAGTGCACAAGTGGAAGAATAAATATCAAATTATGGAATGTCTAACATAAAAAGATATATAAAACAATGGAAATCCGAGAGAAGGATTGCAAACGATGTAACTGTTAAAAATCGGAAAACTATTTTTAGCATATTCTGAAACTTTGTACATTAAATACAATTATCAGCTTAGTGACAGGTTCACCATTCATGAAACACATGTAAGGCTGGCTCTGCTTCATAAGAAGACTGAGTGGAAAATTAGGTTGAATTGATGGTGGTGCTGGCAAAGAAGTTAAAAGTGTGAAAAAAATTATACTGATACGTGGCCAACGACAGATGAAAGACAGACAGACGGATATAGGAATACTGGGCACTCCTTGATCAGAAAAGCTCACTTAAGTATTTTGTTAAGGTGCGTCGAAAGCAAACGATATCGTAGTTCCTAGAAATAAATGAGTACTAATATATTCTTACGTTTCCTTTGTTTCCAGAAAAGTAGACTGTCATTTTATCGATCACTTCTACAAATCCGTAACCGACAATAGAGAAGCTCAAACCTCCACTAAAGAAAAAAAAAATGAAATGATAACTTCTTTGCATTTTTAGAATACTATTGCATGAACATTTTACACCACTGGGGCTTTATAAATTCCACTGTACACAAAATATTTTAGAGAAACACATTTCTGTTTTTGTTTCCGGAGTTCAAATAAAAATGAGAAGAAGATTCCATGACAAAAGAGAAAATATCAATGCTCGTTTGTTATTTTGTCTAAAAAAATACTCAATTTCCTCACAACATCTTCATGTATGTAAATCATTTACGGTGCAAATTTTGATGCAGCAGATGGGCATTTCGACAAATTATATCTCTTCAGTGATGCTCAAGCCGGAACGTTGGAAATCCAAAATATTAAATAACAAGGGGCCCAAGGGTCTTAACGGTCACCTGAGTATAATACAACAATTTAGAGGATCCATAGAGTATAAAATGAACTGAAAGGTGAAGCTTTGTTGCCCAAAAGCAAGAAAAATAGAGTGATCAGGATAAAAAAAATAATTAGTCTAGCATTCATTCATAGTTCATAAATTAGGTTCTAATCTGTTCCCCATTTAACACTATCACCATACAGTAAATTAACAAACTATCACTGCTTCTGTACTATCTTAATTCCTTGTTGAAATCTCTTACATTGGCCTCTCTTGATCTTTGATGAACATGTAATAAGACAGGTTATTTTTGTCTCATTTTTATTTATCTATTACTTACAAGTCTACCTGATCATTAAAACTATGAAAGTACTTTTTGTATTATACAATAAAAATTCTTGCATAATTCTCTTATTCTATTAACCTTTCAAGTACATTATTTACAGTGATTAATTATCAAAAGTAAATGGCAAAGGGGAATAACTCCTCTCAGTAGATAAAAAATTAATAGTGCCCTAGCTAGGACCAGAACACTTGACTAAATGGTCCAGATGTTCAAATATCTGGTAAAAATACCCTTCCTTATTAAAACTTTTACTCTTTTTGCCTCTGATATGCCCAGGTGCAGAGAAGATTTTTAAAGAAATAATGCATTTTTACTACAGATTCACTATATTATCAATAGAGCCTCCCCCCCCCCCCCTCCCCATCGATAAACACCAGAGCCTCTCACCCTGGGACCAGAAGTTTGCACATCATAAGTAATCACTTTGTTTATCTGCTTAACACTGAGGAGCAGACCGGATTATTTAATAGAATTAATGCATTTTCACTATATTATCAAGAGCCCCACCCTTGCACCAGCACATCTGACCCAGGGGTCATGCAATTCACTACTCTGGAAGAAGCACTCTTGCTCATCATAACTATACACTAGCTTCTTTGCTTTTTAACCAGAAGCAGAAAAGAATGTTTTGAGAGAAATTTTGCTTTTTCTCTATATAATCAATAGAGCCCCCCCCCCTTTTTTTTACTAGAACCCTTGACCCTGGGGCCATGAATTTCACAATTTTGGAAGAGGCATCCTTGCTTATCATAACAATATACTTAATTTGTTTAAATAATACCAAGAAGCAGAGAAGAAGATTTTTAAAGCATTGATGCATTTTCACTCTATAATAAATAGAGCCCCACCCTAACACCAGAACCCTTGACCCTGGGGCCATGAATTTCACAACTTTGGAAGAGGCATCCTTGCTTATCATAACAATGTACTTAATTTGTTTAAATAATACCAAGAAGCAGAGAAGAAGATTTTTAAAGCATTAATGCATTTTCACTCTATAATAAATAGAGCCCCACCCTAACACCAGAACCCCTGATCCAGGGGCCATGAAATTCACAATTTTGGAAGAGGCATCCTTGCTTATCATAACTATGTATTTAATTTGTTTCAATAAAACCCAGGAGTAGAGAAGAAGATTTTCAAAGAAATAATGCACTTTCACTATATGTTCTATATAGCCCCGCCCTAGCACCAGAACCCCTGACTCTCGGGCCATGAATTTCATAATTTTGGTAGAGTCACTCTTGCTTATCATAACTATGTATTCATTTTGTTTCAATAATACCCAGGAGTAGAGAAGAAGATTTTCAAAGAAATAATGCACTTTCACTATATGATCTATATAGCCCCGCCCCAGCACCAGAACCCCTGACCCTGGGGCCATGAATTTCACAAATTTGTTAGAGGGCTCAATGCTTATTACAATCATGTCAACAGTTTGACTGCTTGATGTCAAGAAGTAAAGAAGAAGACTTTTAAAGATTGCATTAATTTTGGTGGTTTTAGCCCCACCCCTCAGGCCCCAGGGGGCAGGGACCATGAAATTCACAATTTTTGTCCCTCTTTACCAACAGATGCTATATGCCAAAATTGGTTGAAATTGGTTGAGCGGTTTCAGAGAAGAAGTTGAAAATGTTTAAATGTTAACGCACGATGGACGACGGACAACGCACGACGACGAACAAAAACGGATAGCAGTAGGTCACCTGAGTGACTCAGGTGACCTAAAAAAGACTTGGAAGAGCTGAAAAAAGGTGCCAAAGACTGGAGCCAAGTACGTCGAAGGATCAGAGCTATGCATGAGAGAGATAATCCTTATTTTGAAATAAATTTCTAAATTTTACCACTGCAATTTAATATATATCCGTATTTTCAAGCTAGTACCGAACTACTAGGTTACTGGGCTGTAGAGACCCTCGGGGTCTAACAGTCCACCAGCAGAGGCCTCGACCCAGGGGTCATAATGTAAATCATATACGTTACAAATTTTGATGCACCAGATGCGCATTTCGACAAATTGTCTCTTCAGTGATGCTCAATCCGAAACGTTGTAGGTAACACAGGATGAAATTATACCATTCAGTCGACGGAATGGTAACTGAATTGTCACTGAATGGCCACTGAAATGTCACTGAAAAGATCCTTTCCCGTGACTTTTCCCTGGTCTTTCAGCTACAATTCAGTCGACTGAATGGCAGATATATTTCAGTGGCCTTTCAGTTATCTTTCAGTTGTATCTTTTTATTAAAAAATGGGCTTATTTTTTAACTTAGAAATTTTATTTCACGTTTTCTTAGTATAATGATATAAAATTAATCTATTTCCGAATTTAAAAAAAAAATGAAAAAAACTTAATATAAGAAAAGAAAATCTTGCAGAAAGCAGGGGTCGAACCCTGGCCTCCCGCTTGAAAATCCATGACATTATCCATTTCGCCACGACGTCTTGTTGAATACCATGAGATTTAAAATCAATACATTTGTAGATATTGAATTGGGACACCCAGTTCACCTGTTGTTTCGAGGAGCTGGGAATGTGTATATACTTTGTATACATTTTGAATCTTCTATGTTAATTGTGCTGATTTTTGGGGCTGACTAATTAATTACACATCTCATATCGGGATGATGACAATTATCGGCGACGGGCACCTGTTTTTTAGTTGTTGTTTTTTCCCAAAGAAATGATTTAAGATGGATCTTCACCTCGGAAAACGTTGTAAATACTTAAAACGATATCTTTTAACATGCTAAATTATCGTGCGATTTTAACAATCAAGAAACAAAATTTACAATGTTAAAGTCCTTCCACAAGAGGCATAAATTATTAATTCTTTTTATGTAAAAAATTTAAAAACGATATCTTTTAGAAGCTAAAATATTATGCGATTTTAACAATTAAGGAAGAAAAATATACAGTTTTAAAGTTTCTTCCAGAAAAGGCATAAATAATTCATTCTGTCTCGTCTTTCATAACCAGATATTTCCATGAAAACTAACCGCATTATACACTGTGTTAGATGGATATAAAAATAATGAAAAACTATTTTAAAGCTGAAAAATAAGAATTTTTTCTCTTTTTTATTTTAAGAGCATTTCGACCGATATCCTCGATCCTTTTTTCAGATTGACTGTCTGTTTATTCATTTAACAACTTATCAAATTGAATGAGCGTGTGAAAATATTCATCAAAGATTTAGAAATTTTTGCAGTAAGAAAAAATAATATTGTTTTTCATCATTTGAATAATTTTTTTTTTCTTAATAAATTTTCTTGAAACAAATTTGAAATTCGAAAATCATTTTGAATTTTATGATTCCAAAGTTGAATTGTAATCTTTAATGTTAATAAAATTATAATTAGACATAAATGTTATAGTTAATAATTACAATTTAACATTTTAGTAAACAATTTAAAGACAATTGAACATCTGACCATTACCAGTTCTACGTATCTGAATTTTATCACAATAAGAAAACAAAAACACATTTAAAGATGTGAATAATTTTATTTGATTTTTTTAAAGGAATAATTACCGATAAAACTAATGAAAAGCCGATGAAAAGGTCGTTGAATTATGACTGAAAGGTCACTGAAAGTTGACGGAAAGGTCACGGAAAGACGACGGAAAGGTCACTGAAAGGCGACTGAAAGACGACGGAAAGGTCACTGAAAGATAACTGAAATGTGTCCGCTGAATGCTGACTGAAAGGTATCTGAATTGTGGCTGAAATGTAACTGAAATATACCTGCCATCCAGTGACTGAATGGCCACTGAAAAGTCACTGAAAGCCGCCTTTCAGTTTTAACTGAAAGGTCTAGTTTCTTCCTGTGTAAGGAATGTATGTAAGGAAAGACAAAAATAGTTTAAATGATTCATATGTACTTTTGTGAATATAGTACCTTTTTTTTCAAAATGTGGATTAAGTCAGGATGGCATAGTAAGACTTAAATGTAAATTATTTCAATTTTAATATCCCTATGTCTGCAAAGCTATATCAAATCTCATGAATTTCTGAAAAAATAATCGAACAATAGAGTATGGCAGGTGAAGTCTAATGCAAGTGGAAGTCAACACTACTAGATTGTCGTAAATATTACATGAAAAAGTGTCCAAGTCTATGAACAGAAGTGAAGTCATAGTTATATGTTTTAACACAAACTTAAACTGCTGTAACAACTTGAAACATAATAGCACATAATATATCATTGAAGTAATGGCAACGTAGTGATAAATCAGAATTATACCTGTAAATACTTTTTAACTCAAAAGGTTCTGTACTCTGAACTACAGGATCAGACAGATAAGTCAATCTCATGTTCTGTAATGTCCTGAGTGATCTATTATCGAAGAAAACCTGTATTATGTGAGGTCCAGTTCTATTCGTGGGCTCTGGAACACATCTTATTGCCTCGTCAGAAGAAACCTCCATTTCTCTACAATTTCTCATAGAAAAGTAGATTAAAACAAGTATACCTAACAGAGTAATGGGTCTTGACATATTCTTTTATATATAGTCATTATTTGTAAAAACATACACTGAGCATAGTTTAGGATTGGAAAAATCATCTATTAGTTCAACTCGAAGGTCCCTCTTTCCTATTAATAAATTTCTTCCAATCAATTTGATAGATCTCCCCCCAGATTGTATTACATCAGCAGGAGACAGCCCTAACAGCTGTGGATCCTATAAAAATATCGTCGACATCAGAAGGTACATGTAGAAAATATTTGAAACCAAAATACACAAGAATCAAGGTTATGTAACAGAAGTCAAATACGTTTACAATTCAATTTCTTTACTTTATGCAGGTGAAATGTATTACAGATGTATGAAGGAATATTCAGTTAAATGTAAATTGAAATATGAAATATAATTTTAGTATCACCTTATAAGTAAACATCGCTGTACTAACTCCAAGCCGTTCATTTACACGTAGATTAATTGGTCCAGAAGAAACAGAACTGGGTCCCGTAACACACTGTACACTACATCATAAAAAATCGTTGCGTATAAACTAAATCTGAGATTTTATTGGTCAAATTTAATTCAATATAATCTCTAAAAGGATTTTCTAAAATTTGTAATTACTCAGGAATAGTACAAAACGAAAAAGCGTCTTATTCAAATTAAACCTAATAAGCGGGCTTGTTTTCAGGCAAGATTTTTATAGTACATTTGAGCGGAAGACACTTAAGTATATTTTTGAGAGCAGCCTATTTTCAATATTGTCATTTTCAGGATTTAAGAGCATCATGATTGCGTTTAAAACGATTTAATATAACTTACTTTCGGTCGATTATTGAAACATTCGAGCATAGTACACCAGCAACAGTGATATTATCTACTTGTTTTCTTGACACACCAATATGTTTTCCGTTGATTGTGATGTGGGTACCACCATCAACCGAACCATCCATTGGATCAATCTGTCTAAATCATAATATCAAAAAAAAAAGAAAAAAAAAAGAAAAATCAAAATAAAAAAAAAAAAAAAAAAAAAAAAAAAAAAAAAAAAAATTCAAAGATCTCTCTCCATGGACGAGCAGCAAAGGACCTATAAAGAATCTACAATTTTAACAAAATATTTTTCTATAAAATCTTTTTTCTTCATTATGTTATTCAAATAATAAAAATCTTACACATTTTCACAAATGTCATCTGAGAAATCAATAAAGTTGTTTGATACTGTATGAGAAACTGATCAGTGCGCAGAAAATCTTCATATGCAGTATCAAGAAGGTGCATCCATTGTGACACAGCTTCATACAAGTTTGCAAAATACAGAACCGCAGAAAATCATAAAACTTGAAATGTCAAAAGAAAAGACAAAAAGGAGCACAAAAGTGCACTTGCTTTTTCCGACAGTTCAAAATATCCTACCTGCTCCTAGTTCTACATCTATCCTTGAACGTACTAAATGATATGAGAACATGACCATGACTTTGAAAAATGGCATTGCATCAAGGTCATAACACATGTTTTAATCATTAAGAGAAAGGCACTAATTCTTGAATGAATTTCGAGTTTCACAGATAATATCTTTATTTTTGTTACCAAATAGCTCAATTTCTTACACTGTTGACAATTGGGGCTGGACATAAATATTCTGAACAGTTCTTAAGACTGTAAATACATTGGTCATCACACCATTTACAATTCATTGCAGGATAACTGAGGTCCAGATCCTCACAGAAGGTACAGTCTCCAACCGCTTGATCTGCACAGCTGTACAAAATCACTGAAATAGGAATTCAAACATTTTAAAAACTAATGTTAAGCTGGAGACACATGCAAACCATGGTGAAGCAAACGTAATCTGAATTCCTGAAACATAGCAACAGTCAAATTCACTAAACATATAGCTGATGAGATTTCTTCACGACCAAGCCTCATTCTATTTCATTCAGAAATATATAGTCTTTTGGTAGATTGAAAGTTTAGGAAAAATCATAATAAATAAAACAAAAATTTTAAAATTTTAAGCTGAAAATAAAGAAAGGAACATTTTTTCGAAAATCAATTCAAGCTCGCCAACAATGAATTTATTGTCAAAAAGATAATTACAAGGAACAGTGTGGTATGCAAAGGTAAAATCCTTTCATATAGAATCCGTACGGTGAAGAATGTTTATGATTTCCTTTTTTTAAAAAAATCATAATTTCTGTTGCTTAAAAGAAATCATTTTTCGATATCTTCAACTTACATGTTAGATAGCTAGTTTCAATGTTAAATTCCAAGTCTGTCCACAGAACTTTCATGCTTGCTTCATATAAACCTTTGGGTAAAGCGTCTTCAATCTGAAATGGCAACGAGGTGTAAAGAAAGATAGTGATAAAATATATTGATTTTGTAATTAACCACTCCCCCCCCCCCCCCCAAAAAAAAAAAAAAAAAAAATATCTAGTATTATAGAAGCTAAAATCTTTACCATAATGACAAGCAACATCCACCATCTTTTATTGTATAAAACCTACCTTGCTGATATTGAACATTAACTGAGTACTTGATATCCTTCTTCCCTCTACATTTAGTATCCTTGATGGTAACTTTATTTGTCCTTTATACTGGTCCTACGAGAATACACATGTATATACAAAGGCAGACATCTAGTGTTGTATTATAATTACAGTATTTAGCGGTAGGTGTTGAGTCACGTTTTGTCCGCCGTCACATTATGTCCGACGTCACGAAATGTCCGCCTCTTTTTCAGAAAAATCGTCACGTTATGTCCGCCGTCACGAAATGTCCGCCTTTTTTCCAAAAAAATCGTCACACTATGTCCGCCGCCACGAAATGTCCGCCTTTTGTCCGAAAAAATCGTCACATTATGTCCGCCGTCATGAAATGTCCGCCTTTCTTCCGAAAAAATTGTCATATTATGTCCGCCGCCACGAAATGTCCGCGTCTTTTCTCGGAAAATTCGTCACTGGTCACATTATGTCCGCCGTTAAGTAATGTCCGTCAATATTTTGGATTGGAAATACCGTCTCGTAATGTCCGCTTTCACGAAAATTATGCCTTTTATTTCAGTAAATCGTCTCGTTCTACTGTCGTCACAATTCCTTGGCCTAAATAAAATGAAAACAAAAAAAAATGTTTCTGTCACGATTTGTCGGCTAATATTTAATGTCAAATTTTTTTTTACCCAGAAAGCATTATAACCATACGGAGGCAGAAGTATACAACCATACCCCTTTACAGAGGTCGACCTTTACCAACTTAAACACACTTTAAATCAAACCAATACAGAATTGTCCCTTTCTATGTTTTAAAATAATCACGTGAATACATCATCCAATGGGGAACGTGTTGCTCGGTTGCACCTGGCCGCAGGTAGGTATCAGTTTTTACTTTGACCCCTGCTGCGCCATGTGAAAGGTTGAAAAGAAAAATGAAGGCTATCGGGTAAGTATTAAATAAACAATACCTGCATGCTTGTTGTAAAATAATTAAAACAATATGATTATTAATTTATATTGATATTTTATTACCATCCTCTAATATCTTAGTAAATAAAGTCGGTCGTTATTTATTTTCAAGCAGATTGTTCTCAAATAAGGCAATGTTTTCTATTTATTTCTCTCTTATACCATATTTCATGTTTATATCAACTAAATATTTTTTCTTCAATTTAAAAACAATTTTTCAATTTAAACCAATGTGTTTTTTCTTAATTTAAATGATAACACAATGCAGTATATGTATATTTATCCCTTAATCAATGCATCTTTGTAAGAGAAATATTTATCTAACTTTACAATCAATACGTTAGTTAACGCTTACTTTTTCTCATAAACTTTATGTTTCACTTGTCAGTTTATTCAATGTATGTCTTTTCTTGTTTTTAGCATTTTAAGGGGGTGGGGGGGGGGGGGTTGACGTTTATTTATATTTTCCTCCTGATGATCCGAATTCGTAACTATTTGCTCCAAGATTGAAAGAAAAAGCAGGCCTGACATGTTAAATTGGTTACAAATTGAAAGTTTTAATATATTAAAGGTTTGATAATAAAAGAAATACATGGAAAGAGAAAGTTGAACGCAATTAAAGACGCCTGAAAACTTTGTTTCACTGAATTTGAACATACAGTTTTTTCCCATGTTATGAAACAAAAGGTGTGAATCTCAGGTGTCTGTTGAAAATGGCTTCATTGTTTTAGAATCACAGGTGTCATTAAATGTATTGTACACATCCTGTGTTTACCTGAAAGGAGGTTTCCCGGTTTCGTTTGATGTAATTATGACATGCCCCTCAATCAGTGCGATGTCTTCCACCTACTCCAGCTTGCTATTAACAATGACTAGTTTGATTGATTTTTTGAAATATATTTTAATTATATTATTAATATATGTATAATTTCTTCTTATTTATGTCTACGCTTAAGGATAAATAACACAAACTATTTTCACAAATCAGCAATATTTATTCAAATAGGTAACCTGTAAAATGTTTGCCATGTAAAGTGGGAGAATTCTGTACGATTTTGTCACAATGTTAAAATTATGTTCAAAGTTTTGAATAGAATTACATAGAAAACGATACAAAGTCGCATATCTAAGTACCAAAGAAAACTAACGATTTCTTTATATTTTAGGGATTTATTATTTACATCATCCCAAATCAAATTCAGTCAAAAAATCTATTTCAATCCATGCATCGAATTTTTGTTTGTGTTATGTATCCTTAAAAAAAATTATTCTTAAAAAAAATGAATGAAATGATCAACAGGTTATTGTTGTAATTGTTACAACATCTGTTTTTTTTTTTTTTTTTTTTTTTTTTTTTTTTTTTTTGTTATAATTATCCAAGGTGTGCAAAGCGGGAACACACTCATTTATGTCTATAAATACCCTCCTCTACATACAAAATCTATATCGCTCAGAGTTCAGTTTCAAGATCCTCGCCCCTGTCCTTAAAAAACCGACAACGACATAAATGTTACTCTTCAATTTCTCTTGAAATGCCCATAAATATTATGAGAGCAGTCAATTTTACTTAGCCTTAAGAAAAAAGAAATTCTAGTGTAGCCCATAGGCTGTAGTGACCTGCCAAACGTAAGTCGTTTAACATACATGTAGGTAGAATAGTGACTCTTCCTTCGGCATTGAAAGTCAATAATTTTCGGTTTAGACATTAAAATCTAAAGCCCCTCTAGATACGCGCAAGCCTTGGACATGTAAGCGGGTAATGATTCATATCACATCATCATTTAAAACACACACACATAAACAACTGTAATATACATGTATATATATATATATATATATATATATATATATATATATATATATATATATATATATATATATATATATATATATATATATATATATATATATAAGAAGAAGTTAGAATTAAAAGCAGAAATTAAAATCAGAAAAAAATAATATAAAATTGGAATTTATAATAAAAACAAAAAATAAAAACTAAATTATTTATTTTATTGGAAAAAAAGAAGATTATAGAATGCAAAGGCATCGGAAGCAAGTTGAAAAAAAGGAGGGGGCTAAACCAACAAACACACTTGGGGGCTAGGCCCCAATTTTCAATGCCTATATTATATATATTATATATTGTATGACTATCTTTGCAAAAATGGCGGGGGGGGGGGAGGGGGGGGATAAGCCCTAGGTTACGACGCCTATTGATAAAAATTTGTAGACTTATGAATTGTCTTTGTGTTTTATTCAAAGCGCGGCAATTTAGTGTCCGGAAATCAAAGTTTACAACATCAAAAATACACACATTCACAGTATAAACCCAAAGTCAACACAGTTGTATGTTCAGAAACTACGTGATAGGATGTTGGAATTACCTACTTGCATATGTACATGTAGCTATAGACTATGAAACTGATACGATTGCAAGATTGGATTCATAAAATTACAAGTCGGGATTTTTTAACACGATTACCTTCCATAATAGGTATGACAATAGTTTGATGATGTTAAGACGAGATTTTTAACATAACTTGAGATAAAAAGTGTAAGACAGATGAGAATATATTGCAGATTAAGTTAACGATGGAATATAAAGATTAAGAAGTTTATTAAAACAAACCAGCTGTTTTCTATTCAGTTTATTTCGGAATATGAAGAGAAAAGACACAGTAAATAAATCAATCAAAATTAATAAAGAATATCTTTAAAACAAACGAATTAACGATAAATAGAATTTATTTTAGCTTGATATTTTTTTCAAAACTAAATGTATACCTATTATTTATTTCTTTAATTTTAACCCGTTTTGAAGTTTTGAAATTTTCATTCTTTGTTACTATTTCTTTCATGTATCCATATACTAAAGAAAGAAAATAATCAGATGTTTATTGACACACTAGACGTCTAATTTTTGTAGTATTTCCGCATAAAATTCACCATTTCGATTTTTAAAAATTAAGAATAAATGAGATGGACTTAATAAATGTATAGCGTTACTTCGAATACTATTTCGTTTGAAATCCTAACGGGTTAGGCAACAGGCAATAGCTATAAATACCCTTTTATGCCGTTGAAAGTCAGTATTGTTAAAAAGATTATTTATTATTACAGCTATATAATCGATCACCAAGAAATCATGTAATTTTTTTTTTTTTTTGATTTCTTACTTTAGCACAAGTTATGACTATATAGTGCTACGGAAAATAAATGACAAAGAAAAGTTTTTCTTTCCGTCATTTTTTAAAAATGATTTTAGAATTATTTATTTTGCAATATAAATAGATACCACTAAATATGACATATTCTACGGATATGTTAGCGTAACTCTTATAAAGCGCCCACAGTGAGGAAATGATCACATTAGAACTGCGATAGTTGAGAAATACTGCGCTGATTTAGAGACAGCCCCCCCCCCCCTCCAACGAGAAAGAGTGAGAGATATGGAATCCAGTATGTAAATCTAAATGTGCTTCAATGGTAGACATCACTAGTTACGTTTTAGGGTATACGTACTGCGTGTATAAAAATATTTTGAATTTCCAATTTAAATTGTTTTCCATGGCTTTCATTACTTTAATTTGGAAGCAAATCTTTTCTTTCCTAGTAACACTAAAATGGATGCCTAAACTTAGAAATAGATTTAAATATACATGCAGTATAACCCCCCCCCCCCCCCAAAATCATACATTGCTTGGAACCTGCACGATTAAAAACTTATATATAAAATAATTAAAACAATCTAACCCAAGGTCTACCTTCCTTTCAAGCATCATAAGCTATATATTTTATAGAATTTAACAGTAAAAATGAAACTGTAAACATTCGTCAACCGTCAATGATTGGGAAGTAAGTGGCTTTGTTCATTTCTGAGACGTGCTTTCTCTGATATCTGCGCCCAAGAGAAATTAATTGAAGGTCATCATAATGATCACGATGCAGTCTAACTAAAATTTATTCTATGCTTTATTATTTATTATGTAAAGCATTATGTTACAAATAAGAGAACGATTAGGCCAATTTAACATAGATTACAATGGCTTTTGAGATGATTTTATGATGAATAAAAAAAAAAAATCATAATTATACCATCACAAAGCAGGAAAGAAACTTTTGTGTATTCAAGTGACGGA